ATATATATATATATATATATATATATATATATATATATATATAAAAATTTAGTAAGGCTCATAGAAAGATGTATGGAATAACAAATCTTATCCTTTTGCCTGTTGCTCAGTCAATGTTTTTGTCTTTGTAAACCAAAGAGATTATCCAGAATTTGGTGAAATTTCATTATGCTGTTAATTCACAACATGTAAAACCAAATGTTTAGTTATTTGGTTGAATGAAATCTCCTCTTAGGAAAATTATATGAAATATATTTCTTTAGAAATTCATATATTATGAGACCAATCATTTCCCTTTTTAGGACTGCAGGTTCATCACAGGGGTGCCTCAAGAATGCCCATGTGCTTATACCTGTCTCCAAAACCAGCCTCTGTGGTTCAGGAAAATGCACATCTATTCTAGCTCTAAAGTATATTTTTCTTTCTGAAAGAAGATACTTGCATATGACTCATTTTTTAAACAAAAAATATGCAAAAACTGAATTCCTACAAAGACTGATTTATCCCTATTTATGAAGATTCATTTCCTCTTTCATTGTACTGATTACAGCTTTAAGGACTCTTGAGAAAAATAATCCTCTTCAAATTCCCTCTATCTTCATTCTTTTGCCTGAATTTATGCTCTTATTACCTTAAATTTAAATTATTGGTATATGCTTCAAAAGAGCTCAGGGCCTCCTGTTTGTCCCTTTTCTGCAATCCATTATGTGTACTGTTGTAACAGTGATTTTTCAAGGAATAATAGTTTGGTCTCTAGAGCCAAACAGACATGGATAATAATCTTATCTCTCCCAATGACTTGTTTTATCATCTTATGGAAGTTAACTAATCCCTCTATATTTCAGTTCTCTCATATACAAGATGGGAGATAATATTAGTTCCTGCTCCATGGAATTGGATTGAAGAATTAATAAATGAAATTATATGTGTAAAATGCCTAGAATGGTGACAGTTCATAGAAAGTATTCAATAAATAATAGTTTTCATTTCCCTCACCCTAGCTGTGCTTACAACCCATAAATAACTTCCTGTTATCTATATTCTGAGAACTTTGTTGCCTGTTTCCACCCTCAAAGCATCTTCTACACTGTTTCCTAACATGTACTATTTTCAGACAAAATTTTGTCCTCCTTATCACACAAATTATAAATGCTTACTTCCCATTCTCTTTCCTGTAATTCCTTGACTTCTCCCTATCTTTAAATTTGCTGAATTTTAATATTCAGATGTTCCTCCATAGTTTTATTATGTTTCCTTATGTTCTATATATTTGCTTTTCTGTGTGTATGTTTAAATAAGATTTTTAAAATCTTGACTACTTCAGACTTAAGCAATATTATCCATGAAATCACAGCTTTGAATTACTAATTCTATTATATTTTAAAGCCTTAAAATAAATACATAACTTTAAACCTTTTAAAAAGCTATTCTTTATACCACATAAAATGCAAAAACGTTTTATGCCTCTGGTAGGATATGTTCTCCTCACTGGGAAATACTGCTTAACCCAAACTTTGCATATTAAGCAAGAACTAGCAAACCTTCCCAAACAGTTTCAGTTCATGGTGGATTCATTTTCTTAATTTCTACACAATGTAATACAAATCATATACTATGCTGTGTTTCCTAATCAGTGTCTTAATGATCACTTAACTGTAGAGACTTGTAGGATAGGAAATCTATGTTATGCTTCTCAACCCTAACTCATTATTTTAAAAATTGCTCATTGCCATAGCTCACTAAGTATTTGTTGAATGATTAGTTAAAAAGCACACAGGAATACTCTGTAGATATATAATCAGATATCAGACATGGGAAACCTTGAAGACAGTTTATTTAAAGCAATTCATGTTTACTAATTCTAATACAAAAAGAAATAAAGTTACATCTCACATTGTCCTTTATTTTATTACTTTTTTTCTAGAAAGGATTGATAGTGGCTTAAAGTATGTATACTAGAATTAAAGGTAAACAAACTAAAAAAGAAAAATGAGCAAGTTCATAGAAATTGATCCATGAAAGAAGCCAATCTAGAAAAGCAATATAAGAGGATCTCTATGGTTGCTACTAGTAATCTTTAAATTGGTTCCAAGTTTTTTAGCAGACCAGATAGAAAGAGACATACAACCAGTTGCTCAATCAGTATCCATGGGATTCAAATTAAACCAGTTGTTTAATAACAATCTAGTTTTTCCTGATACTAAAATTGAATAGTTCTTCCTAAAAAATAGAGTATTTGGTAATGAATAATGCACTCAAGAGCAGTTATTCTTCCTCTTCTACTGCTATTGTTAGACTAAAAAGCCTTTGAGAGGCTGGGGTTGTGGCTCAGCTGTACAGCGCTTGCCTAGCACAGGTGAGGCCCTGGGTTCAATCCTCAGCACCACATAAAAATAAATAAATAAAGATATTGTGTCCAACTTCAACTAAAAAATAATAAAAAAGCCTTTGAAACATCAAATCATAAACTCTTCCCAGACTAGCGAAGATAAGAGCCACCAAATAAAATGAACTCTGAGGGGAGACATAGGAAGAAGGGAAGCATTCACAACTGTGAGCAAAATGGGACAGCTGGACTACTATTTAAACTCTTATGACTAAAATATTTATTAATTGGTTCCAGGTGATAATAATCATTAATCCTAACTAACAACTAGAAGACTTTGTTCTGCAAATTAATTGGAGATGATGAATTATCAGGTTTTCTTGATTTGACCACAGCTTTGTTCCCTTTAAATAACATGTGAATTTACCTGAGTTGAATTGTTTTTTGCCTGATTGGGATGCTGACTTCTGATCTTTATTTGCTTCCATTTTTAGGACCAATGACTTGAGAGGGTACTTGCATTCAAGAAAGAAATGAAGTAATCTAAAAGGTTTAATATGTCATCTGTGAAATGAAGGTGGGATGTGGTGATGATAATTAATTGTCAGGAAATGATTCCTTTACTCCTGCTATTATAGGTTTTGGCTTTGAAGTTGAACAGGTCTGGACCTTTCTTTGTTCTGGGATGGATAATACCCTAGAAGAACTGGCTCACACTGTTCAAACTCACAAGGGACATATTTGTATCAGAAAGCCAATTTAATAATTTATAGTGAAGAACAGAACTGCCAAATGGCCTGAGATGTGTATTGGCCTGTCAATGTATTCTCTTCTCAGTAGGGATTCCAAGTCAGAAAACTAAATTAATAACAGATTGGAGGTGAATAAATATATGAAATCAGAATTAGGAAGAGGACTGCAAGGTCAAGCTTGTTTCATTTGACATACATCAGCCAGGATGCGTACCCTCTCTTTTTGCCAGTTCTCATAAGTTATGGTCTTATCATCAATCAGCCCAACCTCGTAGTTTCCAATGCTGAAAGCTTTTCTTTTCCATCCCTTTATGTTCTAGTGATTTTTATTGGACATCTCTGAGTGTCAGGCATAGTTCCATCTAGCTCTCTAATGGTTCTGGTTTTATATGAGCTTGTTGCAGATCCAGGTTGCTCTCCTACAAGAATGTTACCATCTACTTCCTTCTTTAATCCTTCTTATCTGTGAACTAGAACGCTACCCTTTTACCTAATCCACAATAATTTATTTTTTCTCCTTTGCTATACTTATTACTCACAAGGCTCTTTGGAGCCTGGGTTCTGAGTTTGGTTCCCTTGCACACTCATAGTAGTTTGTGTTGCTTTGCAAGCCTTGTTTCTAAGAATTGCTCTTAGATTTGGCTGAGGCTGTTGGCTCCAAGTGTGTGATATTTATTTGCATACTTGTGAAGCTCCCATAGGCAATATACATAATAATAAGAATCTCAGTACATTGGATGGAGATTCTGTAATCAATACTGTTCATTTATATACTTATGCATTCTTTGAGCATTTATTTATTCATTCATTCTCTCACTTATTCATTCAGTAAATATTCATGGAAATGTCTTGTGCTGGACTAGTTAGGAATACAGAGATAACTCAGACATGGTCTTTGTCCTCAAACAGTTTACAGTATTGTAAAGGGATAAGAAGGTACAAAAACAACTGAACTGCACATTAAATTATGAGTCTAAACATGAAGGGGTTGGGAGAAAGGTACTCATAGAGAACAGCTTAAGCAAAAATTGTCTGACTTGTATTCCCAAGGTTTCTCAGCCTTTTCCCTCAGGATTAAATAGCAACTTTCCCTTCAGTAAACCTACAGATTTTGCTTGAAAGTCTCATCTTGCCATTGAACCTTCTGGAATCTAGTGAAATAAACATGGGTTGTGGTGGAAGGGCCTAGGGTGAGAAACATTAAGAAAGGCTAGTATGCATTCATTGTTTGAATGTGCATGGCCTTTGACTTCCTTTACTTTGAATTTCTGTGCACCAATGAAATAAAAGAGAAATAAAACTAGACCAGCGTCATTGCTCAAGGGACTTACCTTTAGTCTGTGCAAATAAGGTTTCTGTGGTGAGGCCCAAATGTACTCAACTTCCTCTTTAAAGAAGCATTTCTTTTCAGTTATCAACAGGATATGTACGTGCCACTCAGAATTAGGCTTTTTTACTCCTAGCTCCTTGCAAAGAAACAAGAGTGCTTGTCCGGCCTGAACTCCAGGTAAGTTATAGTCTAGGACCTGGGGTATTAGTGGTTCCATGTGAAAGGACTGGTGGGAGCATAAAGATCAGAACAGGCAAATGTAGGAACAGTGTCTGAATTGAAATGACCCCTGGTTTCTCATGTCAGAATTCTTACAGCAGGAGCAAAGGTGATTGCCTTTGTGTCTGACCAGAATTCCAAGTTAGGGTTAATGCCATTAGTCCCCACCATTACACCAGGAGCATAGAGTCTGTGGTGCAGCTCAGCCTTTGCTAAGTGTTGTGGTGGAAGGGGCTCGGGTGAGAAACGTCTTTGTAAATTGGGACCAAGAATTATAGGAAAAAATGGTAAGCAAAGAGTTGTTTTGAGTTCTACTCATTGGGACAATTTGATATACTTAACCAATAAAATAGGATTTGGATTACTGCTGTGTTTAGTTTATCTAGTTGTATAATGAAGGAAGATTTTTAAACAAACTTTTTGATTTGGTAAATTTAGCTTGCAGACATACTAAGACAAATAATCATTTCCTTCAGGAGATATGAAAGAAAGTAATATTATTGATTTTGGAACTAAAATGATCTTTGAGATGAAAATCCCTTGCAGTACAGATGAGGAAACTGAGAACCAGTGAGGTGAAGACAGAATCACCCTGCAAGTTAGTAACAGAATTAGAAATAAGATCCATGTGTTCTAACTCATGTTCCTTTTCCCCTACAGTAGGCTGCATCTTCCAGAGAATACTGTAAATGAATTTATGACCCTAATGATTTTTAGATTAGAAAAAGAGAAAATATATCATGTATAATCTGTTCACCTTGATCCTTTGGAAGGCACTTTTTTACCCAATTTTATCTGTACTGAATAGCAAAGCCCCAAATTGAGGCATTTATCTTTTCAGTTATTATTATTATTGAGTGCTAACATTTCTCCAGTTCTGAGACAAAATGACCAGGTCAAAAGAAAATTTCCAGTTGGGTAGTCCCTGAGAGTAGACTGTGAAAATTCAGTTTGCACCAGGATTGGTCTATACAGGGATAACAAGCTTTGTTGTAATTTTTGTGCGGGATAGTCTCAGATCCAAGGATCCAAGGATATTTTTATTTTGCTTCTTCAAGTGCAGTGGGGAGGCTTTGCCATTTTTATTAATTTTGGAGTTCCTCTGGGCAATTAAAATATGTTAAAATTATTCACAGCTAAAGTAAGTTATACACAGGAATATTGAGGTGGCTAGTGACTTCAGTTATACTGATAATCAGGTCATTCATGTAGGAAAGTTATGTTTTTAGTGGTTTCTATTGAACACAGATCCTTCTTTGGTCAAATGCATTTCTTTTTGAGTCCAAATGGGAAAGCTGTTGAGTTAAATCCTAGCAATAGTGGAGCATAATACTCCAAATGAATGAACACAATTATGGGTGGTTTGGGTGGTGATTGTTGATTAGCTGTATTTGAGGTGAGTTGGAGTCCTATGAGGCAGGACAGTCTATAGCCCTCTATTATATTTAACAAAAAGGACAAAGATATTTGTTATGAACCCACACTTTCTAAGAGTTCCACCAATCAGGGAAATGTCTGTCAGGGGGTCTATATTAAAAAGAAAACTTTTGGCCAAAAAGATTCTTATACTTCAGATGAGGATATTTTGTAGGGAAGTTTTCACCTATTATTTATTCACATGCTTCACTGGTAAAGTGATGAAGTAGACAGATCCATACATAAGAAGTGAAGAAGTCTGGATTATAGTTCAAGTTCTGCCAGTGATTCATTTTGTGGCTGTGAGCAAATTGCTTCTTTTGTATGTATCTCAATAATTTCACCTATAATAATGGGAAAAGGGTTAAAATAGATGGTCCTAGTTTACAATAATTGGAGTCTAGGTGTTCAGTACCTGATAAAAGTTATATATCATGGACTGGTAAATAATGGGAATATAGTAGGGAAATCTAACTAGAGAAAGTCTTCTGAACATGTATTTCAGATTTTCATGACAAGTCAGTAATCTTTACCAATGCCCACTATTTTCTTTCAAAAAAGATTATCAAAAGAAATTTAACTTTTGGATCACAGATAAGTATATTTTTTCTTACATAATTTTCTTTCTTAAAAGAATATATGATAGGATATAAACAATAAACAAAGCAAAGGGTTCTGAAATCTGATTTCCACAATAACTCTGTATACAAGTAAAGAGGAAATGAACTTATATTTATTTACTGCTTACTGTGTACCAGAAATGAAAATTAGTACATTCACATATATTTTCCATCTACACAATGATCTATGTATCAGAAACTAAAATCTTACTTTTACATATGGGAAAACTGATGTCCAAAGATATGAATTGAATTATTTCAAACTAGATAGCCAATAAATAAGTCATGATATAATCCGAAGTCTGCCCAAAATGCATAATTCTTTCCTCTTCTAAAATGCTGCCCCGATTGAAAACATGATATCTAATTAGGCCTCCTTATAAATTATTAAAAATTGAATAGATCCATGTATGGAAAGTCAAATTCAAAATTTGAGATGTTTTTAAATGATCTAATTGCTTTAATTCATTTTAAGGATAAATATAATTTTTACTTCCTCTAATTGACAGAAAAAAAATGTATAGACTTGCAGAATATATCCAAATCTCTGTGCTTCTGACGTCAAGAAGGGTTATTTGGAGTCAATATGTATTAATTCAGGAAATTACAGTTTCCAATTTTAGATGCTCCTCTTTGGCTCTGGCTGTGACTGAGTGAAAAACACCAGGGTTATGAGGATCAAACTAGCTTAGGTAATTCATGCGGGATAAGTTTAAAAATATATATGTTAAGTTCCCAAATGGCCTGTAAAGGTTGTTCCCCATTAACAAACTTCTTTCTCTATTTAATTTCTCTTCCTTAAAAATGATAAACACAGAGATTGGCCCTAATACCAATGAAAATAGAAGTAAATTTGAGAACTTGGTTACTTAGTGGTGCTACTTACTTAATGATAATAGGTGGAAAGAGGAGGGGGATTGAGGAGGGTGAAGACTTGTAGAGTTGGGAGTAAGGAAAGTTGGTTGGGAAAGGCACCTGAATTTTTTTTAGATGTTTCTAGAACCTGAATTCTATCCTCCTGACTTTGCCACTTGATAATTTAACAGCTTCAGGCAAATGAAAAAAAAAAAAATCGCTTCTTTGAGCCTCAGTTTCCTCATCCATAAGTTAGATATGATATTCCCTGATCTGTTTATTCATAATAGATCTTTTCAACGAAGATAAATGTCAATTGTATGTAGATGTACTTATAATACATTAAGTATAAATCAGTAGACACACACTTATAATGCATTATTAAGTATAAATGTCAGCTGAAGTGTTATTGGCTATATTAGGAATGGCAGTGACAGTGCTCTTGGTAGGAACTGAGGGAAGCAATGCCTAAGTTAGAACTGCAAGGGAGTTAAAAATCACATTGCCTCATTTTAATAATAAGGAAAATGAAGTCCACAGAAGGGAAGGAATTTATCAAAGCAACACAAAGTGAATTTGAATAGTTACAAGAATCTAAGTCTTTTAGTTCCAAATTTAGTACTTTTTAACATATTCTACTGCTTTTGAGTTTTCCAGATTCCACAAGTGTTATCTAATTCAGTTCATTCTTGTTATAAAGAAATTGTACCACTACTTCATTGATCTATTATGATTTGAGTTCAAAGGTAAAACTACATAAATATATTGGTTTTGATATAATCCTACCCTGACACCTGGTGGGCAGTAATTTACCATATAAACATAGCACATATACATAAAAGTGATAGAAAGAGCCCAGAACAATAGGTTCTCCATCTTTTAGAAACAGTCTTATGCACAAAAATGTCACTTTAAAATATTTTTTCTCCTTGCAATGAGTTGTTTTGACAAGGAGAGTTTGAGCTTTCTCTAATTACGAAGAGCTTCATTACTACTTAAATGGTAACTCTTTGGGAAATTCACTTAGTCCTGCTAAGACTCCATTTTCTGATCTGTAAGAGGGCATCATAATAATTAACTGAGTTGTTATAAAATTTAGAATTTGCATACAAATTAGGACCTAGATAAATGTGCAAAATTCTTGGATTTACTATTTCACAGGGTCTTAGGATTTAAAAAAAAATAAATTTATTGTAATCAGTTATACAGAAAAGCAGAATGCTCTTTGATTCATCATACACAAGTGGGACACAATTTATCACTTTTCTGGTTGTACACAAAGTAGGGCCCCACCACTCATGCAATCATACATGTACCTAGCATTTCTTTTTAATTTTTTAATGTATTTGTTCTAATCAGTTATACATGACAGCAGAATGCTCTTCAATTCATTGTACACAAATGAAACACAATGTCTTAGGATTTTAGTATAAATTTTGATGTCATAATAACATAAGCTCAGTTTAGCTATATCTTTTTGAAACTAGCATTGAGCTAGTTGGTTGAGAAAGGCAACTGAGTTTTTGGAGATGTTATTGGTACCTACGAAGACATTGGACTCAGGTCCAATGAATAATATTTGAAGAGCTGATGCACCCTTGTGTTCTGAGATAAAATTAGGTATTTCTACAAAATAAAGTGCTCAATGGTTAAATTCCCACTTAAGCATATTGGATTCCTATTGGAAAAGGAAAGCTTAGGATTGTAGAATTTGAAGCTTTTAGGTATCAAGATTTGTTAGAATCAAACCTTATTATACTTGCATTTACCACATTTTCCTCAGTAGTAGAAGGAGAAAGGTTATGGAAGTTTCTTAGGAGAGTAACTCATGGGAGAGACATAGCTAATAAAATTACCTAAGGCTCTGCAAATATGTGCCCATTCTCCATATTCTTACCTTTATAATTTAATGCATATGAACTGAGCCACTACTGCATGCTTAGCCCTCTACTAAGTAAAGTGAATTATATAAATGTCTAAGGGTCAGAATCTCAGAGAGATTGCATTCTCCTAGTGCAAACTATAAATTTAGTGGAAATTTGAAGAAAAGGGAAATTAGAGTAGGGCTGCCTAGTACAAGGGATGGGATGGGATCTTGAGATAGGAATAAAATACTGATCTCTGATATGGGATCGAGGCAAAAAAAGGAGCTTAACTGAGTGTTAATCATAACTTTATACCAATTTTCATTATCAGGTATATCATTAAAGCCATACTTTAACAGTAACTCGGAGATGGTTACTGGTTTCCTGCTTTGCTTATTAGATTACACCCCTGTGCTGGTTATTCCCCTTAGGTATTTAACATCTGCCAACACAGCACAGCATAACTCTTTCTCCCCCTCCCCACCTTTTTTTTTTTTTGTACCAGAAATTGAACGCAGGGGTGCTTAATCACTGAGCCACTTCCCCAGATTTTTTGTATTTTATTTAGAGACAGAGGCTCACTGAGTTGCTTAGGACCTCACTAAGATGATGAGGCTGGATTTGAACTTGTGATCCTCCTGCCTCAGCCTCCCAAGCCACTGGGATTACTGACGTGCACCATCATACCCAGCTGCAGACCCCTCTTTCAAGAGAAAAAAAGCATCACTTCTTCATTATCCTGATTTTGGGGGGTAGGAGGCTTGTATCCTGTAGAGAGCACTATAAAGTGGAGGCACCAAGAAGCCTTACTTCTGTAAGACTGGTATTGGAGCCACTGGGAATTCTGCTCTCATTTCTGTCTGGGTAGCTCAGAATCACAGAACTCAGGACTGGACTGAGGTTGTGGAGATATGTATAGCACTTGGAAATGCATTGAACAATGGACATAATGTGAGGAAAAGAAAATAATTGGTGTGAACAACTATTGTGAGGAATATTTTTAAATAGAAAAGGAAGATGAAAAAGAAGGATAAGGTGCATAGAATAAAGAATCATTATTTGGTGGGTTAGAGAAACTTCATGACAAAGAATTAGCTGAGGTGGAGGAGGGCATGGAAGTCTGGGAGTGAAAGGGAATAACTAATGAATAAGATCAAGAGAGATATGAGAGGAGTATGCTAATTCATCTTCAGACAGAAAGAACAGCTTGGGATGTACAAAGAGTGCAGCTTTAGATAAGATTTGTGTTGGGAGGGGACAGTAGATGAAACTGAGTTACTTCTCACTCAATAACCTCAATATTCTCTGTGAGGTAAGGGATAAAGCCATCTGCTAAGAAAGGTGGGGGATGGGAGAGCTTGAGAGAGGAGGAAGCTTTAGTAGAGTTGTTAAGGTGCTGGATAGCTGCCATGCTAATAGAAGAAGATAGTAATTAGGTGCATGAGAATAAAGCTGGAACAAAAATCTTAGGCTGGAGATCATTAATTTATAGTTGTGTCATTCAAAATAGACCCTGTTTTTTTAAACAGAATCATTCATCCATTTAGATAGTACAATAGAAAATGGATTGTGGACTTCCTCTTAGATTAGGACTTTGCAAGGTTGGTGAAGCAGAAGAAAGCAGAACAGGAATATATGAATTATTGGGTGAGAATAGTTGATTTGACAAACTATTTAATCTGGACACGGAAGTAAGTAAGATGATGAAGGATGCTAGGTGACACTAAAAGAAATGGAGAGATTTAGGTATTAATCTCTGGAAGTGAATAGTGCAAATTTCAAGTGGAATTTGGTGATTCTGAGTGAGTCTGTTAGAGAAAAACATTTTAAAAATCAGGAATTAATGAAACTTATCAGAGAATACAAATTTAGAAAGCACTGGACTAAAGAAGAGGTGATTTTTTTCAGGTTTTCAGGGCAAGTGAATGCTGTTAGTTGCTACATTTAAAACTGCTTTGAAGAAGTTTGAAATTGTGATATATTTCTATAACCTTTCAAAAGTTTTATAAATGAAATTATTATTGGCTCCTCAAACAATCTTGGAAACTGGCCAATTCCATATCTGAATTTTACTTTAAATTCTAATTTTTTGAATTTAGATGATATTCTTTTTAAAAAAAAATATTTATTTTTTAGTTATAGGCAAACACAATATCTTTATTTTATTTTTATGTGGTGCTGAGGATCGAACCCAGTGCCTCACACATGGTAGGCAAGCGCTCTACCTCTGAGCCACAACCCCCACCCCAGACGATATTCTTTATCATCCAGCAGCAGGATGACCAACTATGCTGTTGCCTTGAACTGTCATGCTTTAGCACTGAAAATTCTATATCCCAGGGAACCCTCAATCCCAGGCAAACTTAGACTGTTGATCAACTAAAATACTCCCAAATGATATGGACTCCTTGTGTCCCATTCTTCTAATCCATCTTCTACAATATTGCCAGTGAAGTCATTCAAAAATTCAAATATAGTTGTATCACATTTCTTAGAATTTAAACCATTAAATGCATTCAAAACTTTCCATGCTCTTGTCTCATCTACCTTTGTACAATCTTCTCTCTTCCACTCCCTTTCCCCACTCTCATGTCCTGTCCTATATGTTCCACATTTCATACTATTGGCCAGCTGAGATAGAATGCCTATTGTTCCATTTTGTTATGTTATTCATTTTATACTTTGGAGTCTTTGGATGGTATTAATTTATCCTGGAATCCCTTGCTCATTCTTTTATCTATGTCCTGCCTATTCCCATACTTGATCATTGAAAACTCAATTATCCTTCAAGTTGTACTTTAAAACTTCCTCTTGTATGTAGGCTTTATTTCTCTTTCCACAGAAACATCTTTGTTTCCTCTTTCATGACGTGTTTTTGAAACTATTATGGTTAATTACTCTTGTGTCCATCCATGTGACTGTAAACTTCTGAAGGGTAATGGCCACCCCACCCCCAGTAACCTCAGCAATTAGCATATAAGATAAACATATAGCAGAATACCTGTTTGCTGATGAAATCACAAATTGTCAAGTCCCAGATAAGGGATGTGGATACAATCAGCATAGATTGGCATACTTATGGGAGCCTTTCTTGTAGAATTGGGGCTTGATGCCAGCTTTGAAGGAATGTTAGAATTTAAATAGGGCAGTGGATAAATCAGGAAAATTAAGATTAACTTTCTTTCTTTCCCAACTATAATTTCTGCTTTGCTCTCCAATTCTGTTCTTACAGGTACCAATAAAAGAATGAAGATGGCTTGGTACAATTGCCATCCTATCTCACTTAAGATGCTGTATCTCAAAGAATTTGATAGAAACAATCTGATATGGTGAGAAATGCATTGAGTAAGAGGCCTAAAAATCTTTCTTCTGTTTCTAACTCTACCATAGTTTAACCCTGTGACCTTGAACAAAGTACTAACTCTTTCTAGATACATCTCTTTATCAACTAAAACTAGGTAGGGTTATCACCATTATCTCTCCTACTTAACTTACAGGGATTATGCTGTGCTAACATAAAAGTTATTAACCACCTGTAACATTAACTTTAATTCTTAGGGAGAGAGACCATGGCAGACGATCCTGTATTTTCTATAGAACCTAGCACAGGGTTCCTAGGATGGAACCTATTGAATATATGCTGATTGAGTGATGGGCTTTGACATAGCCAAGTACTCAAAAATCCATGGAATAAAATATTTTGTGAGTTATTTCTCTTTTATATTGACTTTCCAAATGTAGAGTACTTTGGAGACTGTAGATGTAACTCTTCACTTCCATTCCAGATCCCATACACAGATAAGAAATGATTTGCTGATGAGATGAGGTAGGTATGCCCATAACAGAATGGCAACTAGCAACAACCAAAGTTTGAGTAGCCCTTGAAAGCAGATCACAAGTACTACTCTCTTTCTGAGGTCCAAATAACAGCATTGATGATACTCTAAGATCTTGAGTTGTGCTGGTTTCTACTTATAAAAACAGGTAACCAGTATATCTGATCACCTGTAATTTTAAAATTTATTCTTTTGCTCTTATTTCAGGACTCTATAGGCATGGATTTTCTGAGTAAGAAAGGGTAAGTATAGAGAATATTGATGCTAATAGACAAAATTGGAAGACAACACTTTGGGGAAATAGCAAGCAGCAAAACATATCAGTTGTAACATGACTCATTTTTGCTTAATGCTTCTAAGTAGGAGCTTTGAACTATTGTATATTCAGTTTAGTACTATTATACAAGTAATCTTTGAGTGCTTAGTAGGTAGCAGGTTGGGTCCTGGATGTATGATGATGAACAAAACAGATTTTTTTTTATGGTGCTAGTGAAGTTAAGAGCACAGTACTTCAAATAG